CCCGATAAACTCTAGTAACATCTGTTCACCAGACTGAACTTAAACTTGAAACTCGCGACCAACAGTTCATGTGTATGCAAGTGCCGAGATGTGAGTTGACCAGTCATGCGCGATTTGGCGATACACATCACAACCATCCATTCGTGAGCCCCAAAAAGGTAACTGAAGGCTTGTGATGTCATCGTGCACTATCGAATAGAAGCTCGTGGGTGGCAAAGAATCTGTGAGGAATGCCACCGAAGCGCATCTTTCGGAATTGGAGTCGACTCTATGTACATGATCGGACCCTTCGAAAATACAGCACGAATCTCCCCTGCTTGGGAAGGACTGGGTTTTGGTCCTCACATCTCAACACGGGCCCCGAACATCGCCGTCCTCCTTAATCGGCTGCATGGTTTGGTCTAAAAATTTGCTTTCGGGGAGCTCAGGCACATGCATCTCCCAATTGACTGGGATTGCTCCGGCTGGATCTGGGTCGTTGCCTGTTTCTCGTACCTTCGAAGCAGCTAAGCAGCTGTCCAAACATCGCAACACATGAGTATGTAGCCCGTGCCATCCTCTCGTAGCAGCTTCCCAATCGCCCGGCCAAGCTTTTTGGTCTGGAGCGTTGCGCTTCGTGACGTGCACATCAACTCAAAAAACACACATTCCCACACACCTGGCACAACATGCACACACACACACACAGGGGTCTCGAGCAGCCTCCTGCCCACCGTGACGTATGGCAACGGGTCTAATCTTTGCCAGCTTTCTTAGTAGGCTTCCAACCTTGAAGAACAGGGCGTTGAACACTCTTGCACGATCTACAAATGCGCATGTCTTCGCACCCCACCTCCGAGCCACCAATCGTAGTCTGCTGTTTGCTAGTAAATGGGCCTTGTGTGAAGATCTTTGAGAGGTCTCTGTCAAAGAGCAAAAATGCATAGGGCCGTTGCAGTATCCAGAATTCACTCGTCCGGCACTGACTAGCCGGTTCAGCTGACTCACGGCCGCGTTGAAGCCTGCCACAGGAGCTCTGCAATTGCCAAAAACTGCGATGTTACAACGGAGCTACCTCGCTGAAACCGCCCCCTGACACACTTCCTTCGAACATGCTCCCCTCAACACTGCCTTGACTAAACCCATCGCAGCGCCTGCTCTGGCAGCCTCGTCCTGCCAGCAGGTGCTGTCCTGCGAAACCATGGATTCCAAGGACCTCCCACGTCAGAGGAGCCGAGGGACTCAGGCTCCTAGGACTAATTGCTAGGCAAACCTTCGGACAGCGAAAAGACGCACTTACCGCCCTGGCTGATCTCAGCAGCGCGCTCGCCGAGGTGTTGCAGACCGGCACCTTTAGAAGCGAGCCAAAGCCAGTTCCTGCTTGCAACACTGGTGCGGACTGGGAACCAGGCGCAGACTGAGCAGGTAATCTTGTTGGATGCGGTTGCTCACCAGGTCCAGGCTCCTCCAGGCCAGGCTCGGCTTAACGCATGAAAACGTGGGGGAACATGCAACATCTCACCTCCAGGCTGGAACAAAAGAAACTGAAATGAAAAGACACGAGCACGGACAGCTACCTCAACTCGCTACGAATGCCTCGTCATGTTGGCAAAGAGCTTGTCCGATGAACTCAGCCTGCAGAAGCTATTTTCCATGTTCGGGGCTGTGATCAGCACCGAGAGCGCCGCCGGCAGTTCGCAGTCTCAGTCTCGAGGTCCTGATGTCAGTCCAGCATATTATGGTGAAAGGACATCAGAGTCACGTGCTTCAGCTTTTGCTAGATTCTAGATGGTGTCACGACGTTTCAATCAGAAGCAGACCCCAAACCAATTCCTGGTACCGGTGGGCACCAAAAGGTATTGTCTTCGGCGTGTGCGAGCTCCGCATTGCTGTCTGCGGGTTTTGCAGCCACACTTACCACAAGCCACTGCTACTCGTTGTGGCTTCGTGTCGAAAGGGCGTGACTACTCGGCTGCCTGGAAGTCACTGCTGCGAGGCTCAGGCACAGTCCTTCGTGGCAACACCGAGCTCATTTGCAATCGTCGACCTCACCGCAGTGCCAAAGCTCTGTTGGCAGCAAAGAAAAGGCCGTTCAGCTTATGTAGGTTCGAAAGGTGAAAGACGTGCCAAAGCCAAATAAACCAAATCCTTCGAAACAAAGTGCCATTCAACTATTCGCCTCGGCACAGCTGGTGAGCGCCTGGATGTCACAGCCAGAAGGTCTCGGTCAGCGGCACAAGAAGCTTCGCTTGAAGCCAGGTCGGTTCCTCCTGCAAAGCACCCGCGAAAAAGGAGTTCAATGAAACTGAAACGAGACAACAGCGGCTTGGGATCCGCACAATGTCGCCGGCACAGCCGCCTCGTTGAGCTCACGTCCGAGTCTCTCTGCAGCAAAAGGCGGCAAAGGCTGAAAAGGCTGCAAACAAGGCACTGGTAATGGCCATAGCGAGAAGGGCCCCAATCCTCCACCGATGGCCTGCAGCTCTGCGTAGCTCTGCACTCTGGAACCCTCTTCCTCAGCACCTGGAGGCATCTTGCGGGGGTTCGTCAGAACTCCCCGGACACATTGCGCGAGTGTGCTGCTCTGCTTGCCAGGTACACAGATGCTCTCTGACTTTGCCAAGCTGTGGCCAATTCACGCCTGGGTGCTGTTTGCGTGGTTGGCTTCGTGGTTGCAAGCACTGGTCGGAATGTAGCAAGCCAGCCCACTGAAGCATGCATCGACAGGCAAGTTTCATGCGTGCCCGATGAGCGGAAGCATCTGCGGAGGCGAGCGTGTCTTTTAGATGCAAGATCAGCTTTCCCTCCGGAAGTCTGACGCCCCTGCATGCACTTTGCAACGATGGCATTGACATCAAATCTTGGAGCCGCAGGGTCCCCGCGGGTCCACGAGTAACTCTCGCTGACCACGAAGTGTGTTTCCAAAAACTACTCCGACAGCTGCAGTCACAGCGGCCGGCTCCCTCACGTCTGGAAGCGGAGCTTCAAAGCGTGCTTCATCGTCACCACAATCCACAGCGCAAGGCTAGTTTGGAAATGGAGTCCAAGTCGTCGCAGCTGCCCTTCGTTCTGACTTGGTCTTTACTGAAACCCAGCTTGTAGGGGGGGAAGATTCGCGTGCCAGGTTTCGACCGCGTCACACATCTTCTCCGCAAACTTGGTCCCAAGCAGTCTGAAGTTCGTCTCGTTCTACTTAGGGACATCTGTAAGCATGTGACGTGCTCCTGGCCAGTGGCTAGAGAATCACAAGGTGATAAGCTGATGTCGTTTCATCCGGCCCGTCCTGGCAGCAGCAGTGCCCGCTGCTTCCTGACAGAAAGTCAGACTTTCTTGTGTTTGGAATACACTCATGATGGCCGTTCAGGTCGTAAACCGCAGAGCCACAAAAACCCCACCGGTTTCGAGCAAGCGGCGAGGTTTCGACCAGGAGTCGCTGATTCAACCTGCTCAGCCATTCATAGCATCGGTCCGGAAGCTCGGCTTGCTAGGCGAAGCTCCGCTTCGTTTTGTCGGGTTCTGTCCAACACTTTTCGTCTGTTCTATTCACATCTTGCATGACCAGTGCAAACAGGTTGTGAATGACCACGCCTGGATTGCTCCCGGCGCTCGCCACGCAACTCTTCGAGGGCAGCAGCCTCATCCACGGACTCGTTGCTCTCCATGTTTCTTGCTATGTCATACAACTATGCGAGAATCGCGGATTCCATATTTGGCGATACCTTGAAGCCAAGCAACGTGGGCGTCTTCGGCAGCTCGAACCTCTGACGCTCTGCTCACTGAAAAACCGCAGGCTATTGCATCGACCGACTCTCAGGGCTATCTGTCGCCTGGTCATGAACGGTCGACAGTCTCTGCATCAAGGTCTGATGCATCAGCTCAGACGACCTGACCAAAGCTCCGTAAGTGCTTGAACTGAAACTTCACCACCCCGCCACGTCGCCTGGCCGACTGTTGCAGCTGCTTTTCTCGCTGCCGCAGCTCCTGTCATGTTTTGGCAGTTCTGATGCTGCAAACATGCAAATCCAGTTAGAGCCTCTTCGGCTCCCTGGCTAGCCAGCAACGCGGCATCGCACTGATGCAAAGCCTGTGAAAGGAACGAGCGTTGGCATCATGAGTCATCGAGACATACAGAAGGCTGTTCAGTAGCATACTCATGCATACTCGAAACAAGAGTGCGTGTGGTGCGAAAGTTACTGTATCCCTGCGATAGGACGATCTTCTACCACATGTAGTGTGAGTGAATGACGCCCCCGAGTCTGCCATAAATCAGGTCTCCGGATCACTGACGGTCTGGCACGCTCCCAAGCTCGAAGCACATCCAAGACAATGCATCGCTTGTTCCATGTCTGCAAGATGCTCACCAAAAGCTCCAGATTCGCAGGTTCTGTATCTTATTGGCATGGAGATGAAAAAAGACTGATTGCACAAAAAAACTAGCATGCACAAAGCTCCCGAGGTCTTGAGGTGAGGTGGACCCAGACACGACTCCGAACATGTTGAAATCGGAGGCCTCCTCAGCCTCCAGTGCCTTGCGCTGCCGCTGCTCGAAGAGGGCAGCAACCTCACCGCTAGCCTCTGCAAGAAAGGTAAGGCCCTTCCTTTCGCTGAGCGCACCCGGAGCGAAAGTTGCTCCAAGCCCCCGAGTCGTGAAAACCCTCGCGCTGCTGCTGAGTCTGATGCCGCCAACTATCGCTTTCGCAGCGCCAACAATTCAAGATGAAAGCAAGCTTTAGCTTTCCGACATGTGAATGGATGTGATGGCCTCGTTTGCCAACATTCGCTCACGAGCCAACTCTGCTTGCAGTGCCTGCGCCAGTCATGCCAAGGATACGAAGCCATGCATGCATGCCTTCTCTTCCGCAAGTTAAAAGAACACATAGCTGCCGCTGGCTGGAATGCACCCCAACATGAGTTTGGTTGTGGCTGTGATTTAATAGTGCCAGCTGCCAAACACCTCTGCTGGACTTCCAGCTTCGCTGGCACATGGTCAAGACAGCTCCAGGAAGATTGAGTGCATGTAGAGGGGTATTATGATGAAACTGTCCTGTTCCATGCGTCGTCCCTCGGCCACTTCCGCGGCCAAATTCTGACCCAGCAGCTCCTCGAAGAGGGCACGGAGCCAGGGTCACTTAGCCAACCCCGAACACGGTCACTTGGCCAATCGGAAACCGTATCATGTTTCAGGTCACTTAGCAAACCCCGTGCGGTCACTTAGCCAACCCTAGGGTTTAGGGTTTAGGGTTTTAGGTTTTAGGGTTTAGGGTTTCGGGTTCAGGGTTTCGGGTTCATCTTTGACGGTTTAGGGTTGAGGGTTTAGGGTTTAGGGTTTCCTTTCAGGGTTTAAGGTTTAGGGTTCAGGGTTTAGGGTTTAGGGTTTTGGGTTTCCTTTCAGGGTTTAGGGTTTAGGGTTTAGGGTTTCTTTTCGGGTTTAGGGTTTTTCGGGTTTGGGGTCTTTCAGGGTTTAAGTTTAGGGTTTAGGGTTTAGGGTTTTTTTAGGGTTTAGGGTTTCCTTTCAGGGTTTAAGGTTTAGGGTTTTGGGTTTCCTTTTAGGGAAACCCGTTTCCTTTTAGGGTTAAGGGTTTAGGGTTTCCTTTCAGGCTTAGGGTTTAGGGTTTCTTTTAGGGTGTAGGGTGAGAACCCGTTTCCTTTTAGGGTTTAGGGTTTAGGATTAGGGTGGGGTTTCCTTTAGGGTTTAGGCTTTCACGGTTAGGGTTGAGGGTTAGGGTTTAGGGGGTTTAGGGTTTATGGTTGATGCTTAGGGTTTATGGCGTTAGGTTTAGGTTTAGGTTTAGGTTTAGGGTTTAGGGTTTAGGGTTTTTGGGTTTCGGGGTTTAGTGGTTTCATGGTTTTAGTTTAGGGTTATAAGGTGTTAGATGTTTAGGGTTTAGGGTTTAGGGTTTAGGGTTTAGGGTTAAGTTTTTCCTTTCGGTTTAAGGTTTAGGGTTCAGGGTTTAGGGTTTCCTTTTAGGGTCTAGGGTTTAGGGTTTAGGGTGTAGGGTTCAGGGGGTTTTGGGTTTAGGGTTTCTTTTCAGGGTTTAGGGTTTAGGGTTCAGGGTTTAGGGTTTAGGGTTTTGGGTTTCCTTTCAGGGTTTAAGGTTTAGGGTTTCCTTTTCGGGTTTAGGGTTTCCTTTCAGGGTTTAAGGTTTAGGGTTTTGGGTTTCCTTTTAGGGAAACGCGTTTCCTTTTAGGGTTTAGGGTTAAGGGTTTAGGGTTTCCTTTCAGGGTTTAGGCTTCAAGGTTTAGGGTTGAGGGCTTAGGGTTTAGGGTTTCCTTTTAGGGTTTAGGGTTTAGAACCCGTTTCCTTTTAGGGTTTAGGGTTTACGGTTTAGGGTTAAGGGTGTGGGGTTTCCTTTTAGGGTTTAGGCTTCACGGTTTAGGGTTGAGGGCTTAGGGTTTAGGGTTTCCTTTTAGGGTTTAGGGTTTAGGGTTGAGGGCTTAGGGTTTAGGGCTTAGGGTTTAGGATTTCCTTTTAGGGTTTAGGGTTTAGGGTTTCCTTTCAGGGTCGAAAGAGCAAGAGCGTTGCACTACGAGCATGTAATCAGAGCGCATGGGTCGGTCACAGCTTGCGCAGATGATCTCACATGCATTGGGCTAGACTTCGGTTTTGGGTGTCTAGGTTTTGTGGCCACTTCTCCCACTCGTTTGCAAACGTGGGAGATTGCATGTTTTGGGGCCTGCTGAAACGCGGACAATCCGCGGAGCTGGTGTCGTGTGCTTGCCGCCTGTTGCCACATAGGGCGTTCCAGATGCCGGCAGCCACCGTTGAGACGCTTGTGAGTCAGGTGGTTGCCGAGTGAATGCCAAGCGTATGCATTGATTATGCCACGCAGCATCCCGTGCTTGCTTGCTTGCTGTCTGCTTGCTGTGATCAGTTCACTTGCACCACTTGTTGCGCAGGGCCGTTTCTGCCGGTGCAAATGCTCATGATCGTGTGAAGCGGCGGCCTCATGTCCTCATGTGACTTGCATGAGACTGCCTGCACCATCCTAACTTCTCCGAGGGTTCGCATGAGGAGGTCCTTCTGTTCATGCTGCTGGGTATTCCAGTTCACGGGGCTGAAGAATGACCGTCTAGGAACAACATGAACACGCACCAACACGTCACCGTCCTCAACCCAAAAGTCCTCGGCATGCTACGGCTCTCTGTTCACCCCGCTCACTTGTTCTGCTCACGGCGACTGGCCCCACAGGTGTGCTGAAACCTCTGCAGCTGCATCAACTGCTAATTGTTGGGGTTACCGGGAGCCCAAAGCAACCCCCCAGTCTCGAGCTGAGAAGGGGGGATTGCCGGGCAGCGAATTTCGAGTCAAGGGCATGATCATGGTTGCCCACAGCCGCAACTCGGAGTGCCTTCAGCATGATCCTTTTTTGGTGGTTCTGAGGGACCTCGGGTTCCCGTTGCGAGCAACGGCGAGTTGGAGGACGAGATCGTCGATGAGGGCACTGACGATGGCCTGTACCATAGCTTCCTGCAGTCTCTCTGTGGTCTGGCTGGGTATGTCTAAGCGTATCCGCTTTGATGAGCTCCTGATTGTACGATGCGAATGCATGGTGTGTTCTGTACTTCTCTTTCAACCTGTCCACTCTCATGAGAACAGTGGACCCGGGAAACCTGGGTGTTCGAGTGCGTGTTTGGACTTGTCTGTCTCCGCACGTAATAGTAATTGTGCTTGGTTCAGGAGGTTTCGCCCATAGCTCTCGTTCTCCGTCTGTCTCTCTGCGCGACATGGGCGTTCCCATACACACACACACACACATTTACCAACTGCACACGCATCAATATCCACATCAAGCACATACCAAGACTTGCCACTCCCGCAACAGGGCCTACTGCGCCTGAGCTTTGCGCCATCCAGCACAGCGGATGCGGTGGCTTCCACAAGCCACGCCTTGGAGGCAGCGTCGGTTTTTCAGGGGTCTGCAAGACATCCGTGGCTCTAAGGCGGCGGCGGGCGGCGGCTTGGATGTGGTTGGGTCCTGCACAAACGTGCAGTAGCCCACTTTCCAAACAAGCCTCCGCAAGCTGCCTGAAGCCACGACCGCGCGATGTGTTGCTCGGACCTGACCATCCGTTGCAAGGGGGGTGCAACCTGCCGTAAGTGCATGATCTGCCTCCAGGGGTCTTCTTGCACATCACACCACCTGGCGCCGTCTCGCTGTCTTGCTGCCCGCGTTTTTAGATGCCCTGCCTCTAAGGTTTAGGGTTTAAGGTTTCTTTTAGGGTTTAGGGTTTCCTTTCAGGGTTTAAGGTTTAGGGTTTAAGGTTCAGGGTTTCCTTTTAGGGAAACCCGTTTCCTTTTAGGGTTTAGGGTTTACGGTTTAGGGTTAAGGGTGTGGGGTTTCCTTTTAGGGTCTAGGCTTCAGGGTTTAGGGTTGAGGGCTTAGGGTTTAGGGTTTCCTTTTAGGGTTTAGGGTTTAGGGTGTAGGGTTTAGGGTTTAGGGTTTTAAGTTTTAGGGTTTAGGGTTTCGGGTTCAGGGTTTCGGGTTTATGCTTTCCTTTTAGGGTTTAGGGTTTAGGGTTTAGGGTTTCCTTTCAGGGTTTAAGGTTTAGGGTTCAGCAGCTCTGGCTTTGAAAATTTCTTGTTAAGCTATTTCCAGTCAAGCTATCTTCAAGAAGAAACCCCACCCGCCCAGAGAATCCCCTCACATCAGAATTAACAGTTTTATTTCTTTTGGCTAGAATTATTAAATACTAACTTATATACGGCTGAAAGAATCTATCATATTTTCAACCGTTCGCGAAAATCAACACACTAGTGACTTCACCATCGACGTTATTGCCTGGTAGGACCTGGTGCTGTTTCTTTACAGTCATTCTCGCCACACGCTTCACTTTAAGAATTTATTTCTGCCGACCAGCTTTCTAAGAGAGCTAGTTAAGAAACACAACATCGCCCTAACCCGCGGAAGCTGCGGTCACGCCATCGCTTTACGATAGCAACCATAGCTGTCAAGTGTCATGACTTGAATCTCCTCACCTAGAACAGCTATCGAATTCGATTTCATGTCTTTCAATGTTTCCACATCGGACTGTGTCCACTGCCTGACAACATTGCCTCCAACAGTTGAAGCTGCGGTCACGCCATCGTTTTACGATAGCAACCACAGCTATCAGGTTTCTTTGCGATGACCGTTCAGCTGAACCCTTCATCAAGAAGGCTGCCTTGAGACGGATGACCCATAGTCTTCCAAAGGCAAAAATCCCAGGACAGTTATCTGAGACGGATGACCCATAGTCTTCCCCAGGCAAAAATCCCAGGACAGTTATCTGAGACGGATGACCCATAGTCTTCCCAAGGCAAAAATCCCAGGACAGTTATCTGAGACGGATGACCCATAGTCTTCCCAAGGCAAAAATCCCAGGACAGTTATCTGAGACGGATGACCCATAGTCTTCCCAAGGCAAAAATCCCAGGACAGTTATCTGAGACGATGACCCATGGTCTTCCCAAGGCAAAAATCCCAGGACAGTTATCTGAGACGGATGACCCATAGTCTTCCCAAGGCAAAAATCCCAGGACAGTTATCTGAGACGGATGACCCATAGTCTTCCCAAGGCAAAATCCCAGGACAGTTATCTGAGACGGATGACCCATGGTCTTCCCAAGGCAAAAATCCCAGGACAGTTATCTGAGACGGATGACCCATGGTCTTCCCAAGGCAAAAATCCCAGGACAGTTATCTGAGACGGATGACCCATGGTCTTCCCAAGGCAAAAATCCCAGGACAGTTATCTGAGACGGATGACCCATAGTCTTCCCAAGGCAAAAATCCCAGGACAGTTATCTGAGACGTTTCACAAAAGTCCTAAACCGTAGGGCCTAAACACGGCGGGGACCCTAAACCGTAGCGGCTAAACCGCTGGGGCATCCTTGTTTTTGCCTTGCAAAATGGAAACCAGCATGATCAACTAGCATCCTTCTTTTTGCCTTGTCAGATGGAAACCGTAGGCCGCTAAACACTGGCGGCCCTGGCCCTAAACCCCAGGCCCCTAAACACTGGAGCCTGAGGGGAGGAGAGGGGAGGGGAAGAAGGGGAGGGGAGGGGAGGGGAGGGGAGGGGAGGGGTGAAACCATAAACCTCTAAAGGGGTAGCTCTAACA